ATCCTAACTAAACGGATATATATATATATATATATATATATATATAAATTCCAGATATAAAACTACAACAAATAATTATGAAAACATTACAACAATAAAAAAAATTGCAGGTTTTCCAAAGTCCTACCCGTTGACTGTAGAAGGAAGGAACTCAGATGAAAAAGAACCACTGCCCGGGAGACATGTCTGACAATAGTACGTCATATACAAAATCTCAATAAATTTTTTTTAAATTAACAGGTTTATATGCATACATATTTTTGTAGTTAATGAATGTTTAGTGTTAATATTTATTATTATATACATTATACTGTATTATTCATCAATATAAATGTGTAGGTTATATTGACAAAGGAAAATGCAAAGAAATAATGATTGAACAAGTTGCAAGCAAACGAGGTAAATGAATCGTTACTGGACAAAAGAAATTGCTTGGTGACACCTTCAAGGGAATTAATCTTGATCGAAGGCGTGATAACTGCGTTCTACCCGACATATCCAATGCTTAGCTATTCAACTATATAAGGGTATTCCGTATCTATTAATATATATTATATGGTACGCATGTATGAAATCTTATTGAATGATCTTATTGAATATTTACATCTTTTTCATATTATAAGAAGAAAAATATTCTTTGAACTACAAGTATAAATATATAATTATAATTAAATTTATATAATGAATTTAATATATATATATATATATATCCACATATAAGTAATATCCACGCTTTTTATGTGTATTCCACAGTATATAGAAGTCATCACTCATCTTTGGAACATGATGCAAAAGAAAAGGCTAAAGGTATTATTCCTATACACACAAAATTTCGAGGTGATGCTTCAAATCGAGTGAACATGGATCAAACACAATAGATTATACGTTACAATCAATCGTTCAATTGATTCGTAATTAAATTTAACTTTAAATACTAATATCACAAACTACTCAATCATATAGCTTTACTACTCATCACCATCACATGCAATCCTCAATGGTCAGAACTACAAAGGGTGTTGAAAGATACAAATCTCAGGCCGGAGGATCGGCCAGACATTCTTTGTCGTGTGTTCAAGATGAAGCTCGATAGTATGATGGCATAAATCAAGAAGGGTTGTATATTCGGACGTATTAGAGCATGTAAGTATTAAATTAGATCTGAGTTTATAATTATACATTTACTACATTCATATAAATTAAAGAATTTTCTCATGTGTGAGTCTAACTACTTATTTCTTTCTTAACTAAATTAATGCATATTTTTTTAATACCATATGTTTATATTTTCTATGCAGATCTATGCACAATTGAATTTCAGAAACGAGGTCTACCGCATGCATATATTTTATTGTGGTTGCATAATGACGATAAGCCCAAGAACCCAGAATAAATTGACAGAATCATATGTGCTGAAAATCCTGACGAAGAAAACGACCGAAAGATGTACCAGTTGGTGGAGAAGTATATGATACATGGACCGTGCGGTGAGGCGAATTTGAAATCTCCCTGTACGAATGATCGAGTTTGCACGAAGCGATTTCCAAAGCTGTTTGTACATCGCACTGAATCAGATGCATATGGTTTTACTGTGTACAGGAGAATGGAAGATGGCTGAACAGTTAAGAAGAAGAAGACTACTCTTGACAATGGGTTTGTAGTCCCGTACAATCGTATATTGTTGAGTAAATACCGATCTCACATTAATATCGAGTTATGCAACCAGAACAAGTCAATCAAATACATGTTTAAATACGTAAACAAGGGGCATGACCGTGTTACGGCGGCATTTTATGAAACATGCAATAAAGATGTACTACGACTGCAGATATCTTTCGGCATGTGAGGCAATGTGGAGGTTGTCTAATTTTGATATTCGTTACAGATCGAGCCCCGTCCGTAATTAGGCTAAGCTTTCATCTCCCCGATCATCAGCCGATTGTCTTCAATGAAAACCAGTCATTACAAAGTGTGCTGAATAGGCCACCTGCTAAACAAACTATGTTTCTAGCGTGGTTTGAGGCCAACAAGAACTATCCACATGCTAGGGACTTGAGGTACGAAGATTTTCCACAACAATTTGTATATAAAGAGGATTCTCGAACTTGGGCGCCAAGGAAAAAATGATTTTCTATTGGTAGGCTTGCGAATGTTCCCCTGGAAAAGGGGAAGACTATTACCTTAGGTTGCTACTTAACATTCATAGGGAATATACGTGCTACGAGGATATCATAAAATTGTTTGACACCGTCTACCCTACGTTCAGGGATGCATGTTATGTGTTCGGTTTGTTAGATGACGACAAAGAATACATAGATGCAATAATTGAAGTGAATACTTGGGCACCCGGGGACTGTATAAGAAGGTTATTTGTAGTTATGCTTCTTTCCAATAGCTTAAGTCGGCCCGAACATGTTTGACAAAGTTGTTGGTTGGATTTGGCGGAGGGTATTGCTTACAAACAACAACATCTTCATAATAATCCTGGTATGGCAATTTGTATAGCACAGTATCCAATTAGATTTTAAATATTACTCATTCTTTTAATATTGTCTCTTTACGCTTTGAACTAAATGTACATAATTTATCCATTTTCTTTTTTGAAGATTTACATATATCGGATGAAAGCTTGAAGAACTATACTCTCACCGAAATAGAAAAAATATTGCAAAGCAATGGTAAAAGCCTGCGAAATTACGCGCCCATGCCAATTCCAATCGAATTCTCAGCGGAGGACACAGTAAACATATTGGTGTTAGATGAACTGGATTACGACCGTTTGAAATGGTTAGAGAACTTCAACGGTGTCTTTCTTGAATTACAGACGAGCAAAAAAAGGTTTATGATGTAGTCATGGATGTTGTATCCAATGACCGTGGTGGAATATTATTTCTATATGGCCATGGTGGAACGGGAAAGACGTTTCTATGGTAAACTCTTTCAGCTGCAGTTCGTTCCAAGGGAAAGATTGTAATTAACATTGCATCGAGTGGTATAGCATCGTTATTGCTCCCCGGTGGAAGAAATGCTCATTCTCGATTCGGACTACCCATAAATGTACACGAGAGTTCCACCTGCAGCATATCGCAACAAAGTCCACATGCGGGGTTGCTCATAAGGGCAAAGCTTATTATATGGGACGAGGCTCCTATGATGCATAGATACTGTTTTGAAGCGATTGACAAGACAATAAAGTCAATATTACAGGTTGACAAACTCTTCGGTGGTAAGGTGGTTGTTCTTGGAGGAGATTTTAGGCAGATCTTACCAGTTGTGCTCAAAGCATCAAGGCAGGACATAGTATATGCTACGATAAACTCCTCTTGGAATTTCTGTCATGTCATGAAGTTGACTAAGAACATGAGATTGCAGTCATGCTCTTCTCCATCTAATGTAGATGAGGTAAAAGAATTTGGAGACTGAATACTAAAGGTTGGTAATGAGGATGACGGGAAACAAAACGATGGTGAAGCTTCGATAGAGATTCCCGATGACATGTTGATTGGTGATTCAAAAGATCCATTCAGAGATCTACTGGAATTCATTTACCCGGATTTGTCGAATAACATGTATGATCCAGACTATTTTCAAGGGAGAGCAATTCTTGCACCAACTAATGAATGCGTCGAGTCTGTGAACGATCACTTAATGTCTCTCCTTCCAGGAGAGGAGAAGATGCACCTGAGCTCAGATAGTATGTGTAGGGACGAGCAAACAATGGAGGATTATGCAGAAATTTATTCGACTCAATTCCTCAACACAATAAGATGCTCCGAACTTCGTTCTCATGCGTTGAAGTTCAAGGTTCGTGCACCCGTTATCCTAATAAGAAATATAGATCAAGCTAGAGGATTGTGTAACGGGACCAGACTTCAAATTATTAGAACTGACATTCACGTTCTGAGTTGCAAAATTCTTTTCGGAAAAAGTATCGGTGACATGGTGTTTATTCATCGGATGACTTTAATACCATCTAAATCCGGACTGCCAATTAAATTTCAGAGAAGACAGTTTCCGTTGATTGTTTCTTTTGCATTGACAATCAATAAAAGCCAAGGTCAAACTCTTTCGCATGTTGGTTCGTATCTTCCTAGGCATGTCTTCAGCCATGATCAACTATATGTTGCATTGTCCAGAGTTACGAGCAGAGGTGGCATTAAGATATTCATCAAGTCGGATTCGGGTGAACTCACCAATGTTATTAGAAATGTCGTGTACAAGGAAGTATTTCATCGAATTTGAAGGTAGAAAATATTTTCATATTTAGCAATTATTCATATAACATGTCTTTTTTTTAACAACTTATTCTTTGTCAGGTGTTTCTTCTCTATATAATTTCCCCCGTGTGATGTTATTTTCAGTCATGTCCCTAGGATACTCAGTGCAGATCTTATTATCTATAAGATTTATTTTTGATGATATACTAATATTTAATATTATTCTTATGATGTAACTATGAAGAACATGATACTTAAAACATATTTTTAATATTGTTGGTCGCGTTTTGTATTTAAATTCAATGAGCGTAATAATTTATATATGCGTAAATTTATTTTTCAGACATGTATTTTCAGTTGAAAATATGCCGCCCCGTGCATCGCACGGGTGAATACTAGTATTAATCTCATTTAGCATATTAGTGAAAGCCCCCCCCCCCCCCCCCCCCCCCAATTTCATATTTCAATTTAGCATAAATCCGAATTTTAAGTGGTATGCCAATATTACCCTACTATTCTTCATCCACATTAAACCCTACTTATTCTATGAACACGTCGTCCTCCCCATCAGCCGCCCAAAAATCCATTCTCCTTCTCTTTCCTTCCGCTCTCCATTAAACCTCTACCACTCTTTTGCTCCTCAAAATCTCGGTCCCGACTTCGTATCTCGCCGGAGTTGAAACATAGTGGAAGTACATCTATGTTACGTCGAAGGGGAAGAGTTAGATCCACGTTCAGTGCCCCACTCCTCTGGACCTTTGTTGCTGATTTTGCGTGAGCGATGAAAATCACAACTTTTCCGCTGGGGTTTACATCGATGACGACTATGGTTTTACCGATTATTGTAGCAACGGCGGATCCTGTCAATTATAGTGAATGGAGAGAAAATGATGGCAGAAGTCATAGGTTTGGAAATCAATTTTTAATTACCATCCTTCCAAGAAGAATTAAAAAATAAGTGGTTACGATAGAGGGTTTCTTTTATTTTAGTTTTTTTTTTTTTCTTTTTTTTTTCTTGAAGCTTACTGTTGTTGATTTTGAATTTGGAATCGTGAGAGGATATTTGAAATGGTGTAATTAGACATGGTGGGTTCCCGATCGGTGTCCGACGTGGCCTCGTCTTTCATCCGCAGTCATAATCGTCACATCCGTCGTGGATTCGGGTATATGGTGTTTTCATACGCGGCATCATTCTTCATCTGCTGCCATAAATCGCCGCCCTCCATTCGCGGATTGTGGAAGAAGATGTTTTTGTGGTTATATTCGCTCGATTTTGTAGTCATTTTCTTGAATATAGTTGTTTTCGATTACGTAGTTGTTTTGGATTAAGTAGTTGGTTTAATCAAAATGTAGTTGTTTCCGATTACGTAGTTGTTTTTGATAGTTTATTAGTTGATTTTCGACAACTTTATAGTTGATTTCGAGAATTTTATAGTTGATTGTAATTTTTTATAGTTGATTTGTAGTAGTTTCATTTTTGGTAAACTTGCTATTGAAAACAACTATTTTTAATAGTTGTTTTATAGTTTTTTCATAGTTGATTATGGCAAAAAAAATATAGTTGATTTCAATAAAACTAGTAGATTTAGTAATTTTGTATTTGATTATTGGAAAAGAGCTTAAAAAAGGTTTTGAAAATAAAATTATATATATATATATATATATATATATATATATATATATATATATATATATATATATATATGTGTGTGTGTGTGTGTGTGTGTGTGTATATTTATATATATCAACTACGAGAAAACTAAAAATTACAAAACAAATAGTTAATAAAATAATAATTTATTATTCATTTTTTAATAAATGAATAAAAATGGAAATTAAAATTAGTGGGAAATGTCTTAATGGGAAGTTAACAGTGAAGAGGGCATATTTGGAATAAAGAAATATTTGGATTTATCACTAATAATGAAAAAGTGGTTCGATCCACCCTTATTAAAAAAATACTAGAGGGGGTTCTCACTAATAGTCCATTTAAAATAATTTCAGAAACTAAAACTTAGGTCAGTTAAGAACTCTAGGATTTTTACTCAAAAAAAAAAAAAAAAAGAACTCTAGGATTTAATTTGGGAATTTTTGGAAGTGGTTTGCTATTATTTTGAAATTAGGAAATTATGCATGCCATTTATTATGTTTTGTGCTTTAATGTCCATGTCTGTGAATAAATGATTATGAGTTATAAAACTTGGGATTGTGTACCTTAATTTACTGCATGGATGTATTAATTGCTGCTGGAATTTATTTGGAATGAAATTATTACCTAGAATTGGTAATAAGTTCATTAAATGAAAGATAAAGATGACCCTTGATTTTCAAGCATGATTTGGGTATTAAATGGTGGTATATTAATGTGTATGCTGCATATATGTGTGTGTGTTGAATGTGTATATGTGTGTGTGCCGTGTGTGGCTGTGTGAATGTGGGAATTTTTGCCTAAGTTATAAATATGTGGTAAGTTGTGATATTTGTGTGGTTATATGCCACTTGATTGATATTTATGATGTTATATGTGGATTATATAGTTGTTGTAAGCATGATTTTGAAAAACATGCATTTCACGGTTTTTAAATTTGAAAGATTAATGGAATGCCGGATATCAAACAACTCGGATATAGAGGGCCAGTATCCAACTAGGATGAAATGTGTGGTTTGACTCCACTAGTGAAAACGGGCTCGTGACAAGTTTATTATTCAGGTTCAAAAATTAATATTTGGCGGATCCGATAAAACGAAAAATGTGTTTTTCACGATTTTCATAAAAAGAACATTTTAGTTATTTTGCATAAGTGGTTATGTGTAAATGATGTGTTGAATTATGTGATTAACCGTTAGCCTTATGGTGTTTGAAATGTGAGTAAGGATAACTATATAATATTATATATATTATATAACATATTTTCAAAGTTCGATATTTAATCGAATTTGTTACTGAGCTTTATAACTCATATAGATGCCTTTTAATTGCAGGTAGTAATATTAGTTATCCTCCACCAGAATGGATCGAGTAGCGGATCGAGTTCTTAACCGGGATTTTTGGCAGTTGTACGAGGGCCTATGAACGATGCTAAAGTATTTGGGTTTTTTGCGATGTAATAGTAATCTTAAGTATTCCCTTTTCGAATCTTTCGAACTCAAATCCGGCATGGGTCGTACTTGACTTTTATTATAAAATAGTCCGTTTAGTAAATTTGTTATTTCATGTCTTACTAGTAGTTTTCGAGATATTCACAAAAATACCTTTCAAAAACTCTGATTTCTTTTCGAACCAAAAGTAAAATAGATATTTGATAGTGTAGCACTCGAACGAAAATCCTCCTCTCGAAACTTGTTATCAAATGAAACATTTAGTCGACTAAAATGCTCCTAAGAAAGTTTTCGAAAATCACAAAGGTTTTGAATATCCTAAGGAAGAGATTTTTAATAATTTTATTTTAGTCTCATTCCAAAGTTTTAAAAATTAAAAAGAGATCATTTTGCTTCCGCTACATAAACGAGTATTCCGATAAACCGGTTCGACTTATCGCCCGATAAGAAGATGGGTGCTACATACGATCTCCACGATCCGTACATCTGACTTGAGCGTCGGAGGGGTTTCCGCCGGATCAACCCCGGCTTAGTGTTAGAGTAGGTGACCAACAAGCCAACATGTGGCTGTGGTCTTTCCATTTATTCTTGTAATAAATCAACCTTTTTCGTATTAATGATAAAAACACCTTGGCATTCTATATCTTTGTCCCTTTGTCACAAACATAGATATAATGATAAAGACTTCTTTCCTACTCACGGGAGATAATAACACATCCCTCTTAGAAGCTCACACCATCTCCTTCACAATCAAAGTTGCTTGGCTAGACTTCGGTATTTGAAAGCTCTCCCCTTCGGTTGTTTTTCCTTTCTTCGGTGATAAGGTAAGAAATTTTGATTTCTTGCTGCAATTAAAGGGTGTCAATAGTATCAAAATGGTTTTCAAAATTTCTTATAAGATTTGGAGAGATTTCGAGAAAATTAGGGCTTTTCGGGGAAAAATGGAAAAGAAATGTTGAGTGTTGGTTTCTTGTTCTTGCATGCATCATTTGTGTTGGTAGTGGGTAGATACAAGTTTTATTGGCCGAAAGCATTGTAAATTTCGGATTTCAAGGGGTTGCAAGAAAAATGAATTTTTGAACTTTTATGGCGTTGCATGTGTAGATCTAAAGATTTTTGGGTCAAATCCGTAATTTTTAAGAAGTCAGTCCTAAATGTGTTTTCAAATATTTTTTTCAGCATTTATTGAACAAAAATTTCGGATTTAAAGAGGTTGTGCTATAAAGATTGATTTTTGAACTTCTAGTGGTCTTGCATGTGTAGATCTAGAGATTTTGGGGTAAAATATGTAATTTTCGAAATTTCTGCCTATAGTAACTTTTTAACTTTGTCTTCTGCATTTATTGAATTAACATCTCAGATTGTTAGGGGTTTTTCATGAAAAAGTGGATGTTGAACTTTTAGTGTGGTTGCTTGCATGTGTAAATCTTGAAATTTTGGGGTCAAAACTGTAATTTCTGAAAAATCTGTCATTTCTAAATTTTGGAATTTGTTTTCCAGCAAGTATTAAATGGGGAAAAAGTTTTCTTTTCAAATGTATCAAAGTAATTAAGGTTATATTAGAGTTTTGGATTTTTAAAAGAAAAAGGGATTTTTCTAGTTTTTAATTCCAAGAAAATTTGAAACATTATGAAACTTTAAAATAATTTCAGAACTAAAACTTAGATCAGTTAGGAGCTATAGGATTTAATTTGGGAGTTTTTGGAATTGGTTTGCTATTATTTCGAAACTAGAACATTATGCATGTCATTTATTATGTTTTGTGCTTTAATTTTCATGTCTTTGAATTAATAATCATGAGTGATGAAATTTGGGATTGTGTACCTTAATTTGCTGCATGGGTGTGCTTAATTACTTCTGGAATGAAATTATTTCCTTGAAGTTGTAATAAGTTCATTAAATGAAGGATGAAAATGGGTGCTTGCTTTACAAGCATGGTTTGAATATTGAATGGGTGTGTGTGCTGAATACTTGTGTGTGTGTATGTGTGTGAATTTGGGGATTTTGCCCAAATTATAAATATTTGTGTGATTTTGTGGCACTTGATTGATATTTGTAATGTTTATGTACGTGTTATATAATTATTGTGAGCATGATTTTAAAAATGATGCATTTCACGGTTTTTAAATTTGAAAGATTAATGGAATACCGGATAGTAAACAGCTGGGATATAGAAGGCCGGTATCCAACTAGAATGAAATGTTGTGGATTGATTCCACGTAGTGAAAACGGGCTCGTAACAGGTTTATTATTCAGGCACATAAATTAATCTTTCACAGATCCGATAAAGCGAAAAATGTGTTTTCACGTTTTTCACGAAAAGGGCATTTTAGTCATTTTGCATAAGTACGTGTTTACGTGTGAATAATGTGTTTTTGTGAACTATGTGATAATGATTAACCATTTGGCTTGTGTTGTTTGGAATGTGAGTACGGATTTCTATACAATATATATATATATATATATATATATATATATATATATATATG